TACCTATAAATTCTCATATACATGTGTAGGTGTATATGAGGGAAAGTAAATTGAAATTTCCTAGGTATTTTTTGTACTGCACTTATGTTAGTATTTATTTATTGCACTTATTTATTTTTTTGTTGGTTAAAAATTTTTAAATTTATTTATTAAACATCTTATAAAATTTTCAGAACGGTAACACCTAATTTACCTAATACTTTATCCAATTTACCCTACTCGAAATTCTAGTAAATACCAACATTCGCTGCCATACAGACATAATTTACTATTTCCCTCAATTTACCATCAATTTACTCGAACACGAGCTACTCGTAGTAACTTTGAGTAACTTTGTGTATACACAAGTGCGTTCCACCAGCTAATTTTCGATTAAATAAGAGCATCTGAGAGAGCGTTACATCCCTGTCGAAATTTGAAAATGCTACACAGACTTTACTCGTACATTTTATTTCAAGTAAAATTTGTGTTGATGTGTGAATAACCTGTGTTAGTTTAAATTTAAATTCTCACCAGATTTTACCCAAAGCTATTCCATGAAAATCTGTGTAAAGAGCATAATTTCGCACTTTATTTGTGTTATGCTCTCAATTTGTACTTTACTTGTGTTTTACTTGAGATTTACTACCAGTAGCTCGGGGAACAAACCTATTATTTAATTTTATGCTTATATATTTTTATGAGTAAAAAAGTTCACTATTTATAGCGAATCGAAACCAATAGTTTTTTAAAACTTATTGAACACCTTAATGTTTTTTCTGCTTTTTTGCACATTTTTTTTTCATTAAATATTCGTAAATTCAAAAGTTACTGAAAATCTTTCGCTGCAATCGGTGTAAAACTTTGAAGTCAGCATAGGAAATCATTCAGCAGCTGTAGTAACATTCATACATACACACACATTTATATACTTGTGAAGGTCGGTTTAATAAACGTTCTCATATACTTAAATATCTCTTAATTGATTATTATTGTCAATCCACAATTTAATATTTCTAGAAAAAAATGCGAACATAAAAGTCAAGTACGGCTTTGGGTCAGTTGGTTAAGGTGCGCTGACTCTGAGCTACAAATTTGGAAGGAGCTGAGTTCGATTCCTGGTACTTGCACTCTCACAAAAATTATTTACGAATAATTAAATACAAGAATTATTTCCAAGGCCACTGATGATGGGTATTTGGCAATACTCGAAACAGCTGTATGGTCAGTCAAATATTCTATTCATTAAAATAATATAAAATGAATTTTAGTAGTTGTAGTTTCAATACTGTTCGAAAAATCTCTTTACTATTTATTTATTTGTGAGTTAACATTAAAATTAATTTTAATTATTAGATTTTAAGTTATCTAAGAATAAAGAACCGAGCTACTAACTCCTTCGTCCCGAATTAATATTTTTATGGTTTTGGCTATGTTATGATTGCAGTCATAACCACCAATTGTTATTGCTTTCAATATAAAATTGAGAATAAAAGCAAAATAGCAAAATGAATATAAACAAAAATATTCATATTGCTTTACTAACACATAGTTAATTTCAGTGGACAAAGGACACAGCAATTTAAAAAACTAAAGTTTTATTGCGGCCAAATTCAAAAATCAGTCTATTGTGAATGTCACTGAAAATATGTTTGAAAATTCAAGTTATGTATCCAAAGAATATCTTACAAGAACGGCAACTCCATTGTGAACTAAAATTTTTTTTTCGCACAACAACAATTTACCGTGGAGCTCTTGAAAGTGTTAATGAAAAGTGCACTAACACCAGCTGAAATCACTGAAATTTATCTCCTTTTCACCTTTTTCCGATATTTCAGGTAGTTTTTTAACATATAAAGTAGTAGTATATTTTGTAATCAAAAAATTTTTTAATTTTCAATGTTCAAGTTCCAGTTTGTGCAGCCTTCTTGTGGATAAACACGATTAGTCATCGCTTCTAATTTGACAGGCACGCGTTCTAAGCCTGGCACTTGCAGTCCAAACAAATTATATACGGACTATAAACTAATTAAATAAAATTCGATTATTTGCAAAGACCACTGATGAAGATTGTTGAAAATATTCGCTTTTAACATTGTGGCAACACTTATTGTTGTACATTTCTTATTATATCATTTTACTTTTGTTTTGTCTCTCTCTTGCGTTTTTAAACCTCGTGGAGTAAACACGTTTTTCTTTTTTCTAAAATCTGAATTGAAGTTATAAAATACTAATATTAAATGAATGCACGTCTTTTTTATTTCATAAATCTAAGTTACAATAATTAAATTTCAACAAAGATTACTTGGCAATGCTCAAAAGAGCGTTGTATGGTCAGCCAAACTTCAATAAAATTAAAATAAATTTTTATGTTTGTCCTTTATTTCTTTCGTTGTTATTCAAAACCCCTATAAAATTTTTATAATATTCTTCAAAGGGATCAACTAAAAATTTACGGAATATATCTTGTTTAAATGTTACATTAATTCTAGTAAATAATTAAGCCTATTTATTTCATAACAATAATAAATTATGTGAACAACTTGAACTTCTTTTAATTAAACTTAGCTAATATTTTTAAATACTTTAATATTTATTTATAAATATATTTTATAATCATAATGTAAAATTAAAATTGTTCAATATTCTTTGCATATCATATTGTACACAACACAACAAAAACAAGCACATGTATGTATGTCAAATAAAAACATTCAACATATTTTAAGAGGAAGTTATGAAGCAAAAACAATAACATGTACATAACATAACATATGCCTATGATCATAAAATAGAATTCATTCTTTAATTTAAATTTAATTCCGAAAAATGATACTTAGTTGCTAGGAAATAAATTAAATTAGAATTAAGAAGAATTAATGCGCTTTCTTTCGGTATTTAGCTTTAATCTATTATTGGGCCTATTTACACTATCATGAGCGTGAGATGAACTTGACGACAACATGAACTGTCAGTTCAGTTTACACTATCATGAACTGTCATGAAGAGCGAAATTTGTTTTGTTTTGTGTAAACGTACAAAATGTTTGTGTGTAGTAGTGCATAGCACGGAAATTCAAAGTATTAAAAGGTAAACATAAACATAACATTTCATAGGTTGCGTGTCAAGCTGAAAAAAAAGAGCAAATTTCCTTGCTTGAAATTCATGAACTCACCACATCACGCTCTCTTCCCTCTCTCATCCATCGGTAACTGGTTTTCAAGTGCACGTTCATTGAGTAAAAATATTATAGTATGCTTTAGCTTTGCCAAATGTATTATAATAAAATTATATAGAAATCAATTTAAGATGAATAAAAAAAACTAAAATCAAACCTTCGGTTTATATGGCAGTATGAATAATTACCGCTATTTCGCAAATATATGCGCTTCACAGATACTGAATAAGTATAAACGGAACATCAGCACGAGGGGACGAGGAGTACAAGTGTTTCGGCTATTAGCTTTTGCAAACGGATAATTGCCGAAAAATAAAAACTTCTTTAAATAACTGCATAATCATTTATGGTTACTAGATCGACCTATATCGTCAATTAAATAGAAGTGACAATTTTTATGTTGCGCACAATTTTACCTTAGACCACCTTCGAGGTAAAATTCTAGTATTCGCAATTTTGTTTTTAAAAAAAATATGTGCTGATTAAGCATTGTGGCCAAAATCCTCGAGTTGGGATACGAACTGCTACCCCATCCAGCATATTCTCCAGATTTATCCCCGTGCGACTATTTTCTGTTTCCAAACCTAAAGAAATGGTGAAAGTCACTTTTTTCCATTATCGTAAAAATTCACTAGGTTGTCTGCTTCGAACGGCTATCAAACACCAACTGAACGACGTAGCTTGCTCAAAATTAAAAAGTTGCCCTCTGGTAGATTACAGCTGATGGCAACACTGTTGCATTTGAAGTAACTGCGCGGGAAATTCAAAAAGTCACTGACTTATCAAAGCACCCACGTATATACATAAATATACATATATGCATATAAATATATATATATAGGTATACCAATATATTATTTAATAAACAACATTTTGAAATTTGATTTAAATTTGATTTAAAACTGCGTTTTCCAATTTTTTAAAAAAATTTTAATTTAATATGCTTATATGTACATCTTCAATTCCATTGTTGTCGTTTTTTTTTAATTTTATAATTTGTGTCTTAAGTAGTACCGTGAAGAGGCCTTTAACTGTTTGCAGGTATATTTTCCACGTCCACCGAAATATTGTTGCATTTTTTGGATGAATGACATATTACCTATCTATTATCTATTACTTCAAATATTTAGCAATATCAGGTAAATTAACTTGCAAAATAAAAATAACTTTTTTCAATGAAACTTTAGAAATCCAACTGAAATATCAATTTCTTTTTTTTAATTAAATTGTTACTTCATAAAATGAACAATATTATTAACCAAACGAAAGAGGTATTTTTCTTATTTTCTATAATTTAATTGAAAATAAATCATGTTTATACAATATTATCATGTTATGTATTCCTAAGTAGGTTAGAGAGTATAATGAAATTGAAAATTGTTTTAAATTCCTTTTAATTCGGCTGTTTTCACAGCTGAGTAACCCATCTTTCACCTCTAGACGCTCCGTACATTCCATGTTATCAATAATTTTGGCTATTCTTTCTATGCTCTCGCTTACATTATATCGTTATAGTCAAGTGTACAAGAACAAAGTTATATGATATCTGTTACTTCGCATATCAAACCTATTGTTCAATTTCGATTTAAAGTCGTTTACCGATTTAATCGGCTTAAACAATACCCGATTGATATAGTGCATTGTCTGATTGAACCAGAGCAATCTATTTAATAGCAAAACTAACTTTCAAATAATCTGTGAATTGTAAATAAATAAACTTTTTATTTAAATAATAGTCTTACAATTAATCATTTTTGCCTTACATATATACAATATAATAAAAGATAAACAAATTAATGCAAATAATGATACAATGTTAAAATAGAATTATACAGTACAGAGTTTCCATACATATTTAATATATAAATTCGTGTTAATTCTGGAACAACAGTATATAAATATATCGGTTCTCCATTTCTCAACATGGAGACAACATGGATGTATAAAGTAAATATCTTTATTGGAAAGTTTAAAAATTGAATTAAAATGTTAGGTTGAAAGACAAACCTCATAACTTCTATTCGTTTGAGGGAACTTATTTGCAGCCCATTGGAAACAATTGCTGATATTCCAACAGCAAAGCATGTTTAGCAATTCTAATTGTATTTTGACTAATACCAGTAACATCGCTAACATCCTTCAGTTTGAACTTATGACTTTTAGTCTAAAATAGTACAATTAGTTATTATATATAAGACTGTTAATTTCAAAGTACAATTCTATTATTACCTGACAGGCCAAGATAATGGAAGCGGCGGCAATTGAAGTTGGGGATTTATTGATTGCAATTTCGTTGCTATTTGCTTGTGTTAATATACGTATTGCAGCATTTGTAACCGATTCGGGCAAACCTTTTTTAATGTAAAAAAAATTTTAAATGATTTACAACTTACCTTTATATGCGATTTGAAAATATACCTAGCTTCGAACAAAATCTTGACATGCAATCATCACTGATTGTTGCATCAACTATCAAATCCATGCGTCTTACAATAAATTTGGACCACAGCTCTATAGTGTTCGGATTCGCATTAGTAACAGCACAAATTTCCTTATAAGTACGCGGTGCTCCTTCTTGACGACAAGCAATTAGTACACAGGCAGCTGCTTTAGCGGAAACTGAATTGTTCATACAATTGGGTTTATGAATCTGAAATTGATACACAGATATTATGTGCCGTCAATATTAACACTGATCACATACAATGTATTTTTCTTTTAGTTCATTAAAAATGTTCGCACTCTTAAAAAATTATATTCTTTTATGAGAATAAAACAATTCTTCAAAGCTCAACCGATAAGGTGAGAGACGATATATATCATATGATCACTAAAAAAACAAATCATTATTCATACAAAAAGTTCCAAAAGTTTATGGTTATAAATTAATAAAAATAACATATGTTTGTCGGGGATTTTTACGTAACTCCCTGTCATATGTAGTGTTGGTTATTCCCTAATTATTTACTTACCTTTTGATATAAAAGTTTAGCCCGATCGACAATTGATGGTGCTAAATTAATATGATCTCCCATTACAAAAATTTCGTTAAGCCCTCTAATTAGCCCCCGTTCTGAACTATTTTTTAATTGTTTAGTTTCGCCGTTATTGGGTAATATTTGGTTTGACGAAGAGCTGCTACAAATTACATTAGACGTCGTCAGGTCTAGTGCATTTAATTGCCGATTTTCATTATAAATAATGTTATTCCTTCTATGATTTTCTCCTCCTTCAATAGATGTACGCCACTCGCAGCCAACAACCAATCCGCAACCTGCACATATGCTGAAGTCTGAATAAACAGTTTCATCAATTGAAGCGTTTTTATGATAAATGCAATTATTTCGGTTGCTAATATTCAGTAAATAAATAATAAATTTATAAAATATAAGTTTCAATAATTTTGGGTTTAAATAAAAATCACAAACAACAGCACTTACTCTGAACAGTCTTCCATTATGTGTGTCCGTGTACACCACCTTACTCATCGACGTCTGGTAGCGAAAAGAACGCCAGCTAGCATTTGCAGAGGAATTATGGAACAGAACATTGTTGCTATGTTGACATGGAACGAGTTGACATTGGTACTTTATTTTTATTTTGTTTGATAATGCTTATTAAATATATAAAAGAAGTAATAAATAGTAGTATATATTACATGATTAAATAATTTTTATATGATAATAGTATTGTTTCTACTTTATGCCGAAGAGAAAATATAATTCTTGTTCCATTCATAGCACATTAAAAAATTGCAAAAACAGTTTAAAAGCTTTAATCTTTAAATACTAAAGGTAAAAATTATAATTAAAAAACTTGACTCTTATAAATATCTTTACCAGATATGGCGAACACATATTTCTCTAAAATACAAAATTGAAAGCACATTCTCATCATATAGATTAACCAAAGTTCTCTTTTATAAAGATATCAAACTACCCAGTCATGATCAACAGCAAAAAATTAACAAATTAATTTAATAACAAAGAATTAACATTCTTTTGAAATAATTACTAATTTGTTCATTTAAGCGATTTTCATCATCATATAGGGTATTTATAAGACCAAACTTAACTAAAACTCTTTATTCATAACGATTTTCAGTATGTATTGGTAATGCTGAATTTTTATACGAAACAAAATAAAAATAGAAACAAATCTGAATCAGCTGTTTGATTTCATAAATATTAACTATTAATATTTTTATGCCCCGTTTATTATGCAAATAATTTTATATAATGATAATAATATGATATGATATGAACATAATTAATTCCAATAAGTTCATTCTTAATGATCATTTCCATGGTCTTGCAAGTTGTTTTGTGTGTGATCATTTAAAGAAGATTAATAATTATTTATTGTTACCGTCTATTTAGTATAAGAATTCCTTATAGTTTTAACATTGTAAATTACTTATTATCTATATAACTCATGAACTTATGAATTGCAAAATTTGTGTAAATAATGTTTACAGTTAGTTATTTAACGTTGTAAGAGAGAATTCTAAGCAAAACCTGATCATATGTACATATATATATTCACGACTAACCCAGTGATATTAGTAGTCTATTTAGATACAAAATCTACCAACATGGAATTATTATTTACACAATTTTAACCGAAATTATATTTTTTTCGATTTATTTTAATTCATATCATCGTATGTTCAACGATTGATATCTAAGTATACTCTGTGCTGTCCTCGAAAAAGGTGGCCCAATGATTCGTGCCAACTATAGGGAAATCAGTTTAAAACTTAATGTTAATAGACCAGAAACATTCTTCATGTGAAACTGAATATGGAAGCGATAGAAAGGGTTTGGATAGTAACTGTAGCTTCATCAAAATAGGATGAAGTCTATTACGCGAACTTTTTAATACAATGCGTAGCTTCAAACAATGTGATCCTTTATTGTGTTCTTTCTTCAAATTAAGTAAATTAAATTAGATTAAAAAGATTTCAACTGAAATTTCGGTTTAGAATTTACGTTATGACCAAAAACCAGTAAGGTTTTACATATACAATTAATTCATTACTGTGATATTATCACAGTTAATATAATACAACTATTTCAATATATCAGTTATATTGAAAAAACTAAGAAATGAACTCCACAGATATGAAATAAATACAATATATCATTTCAATTCTTAAATATTGTAAAAGCAGATTCGTTATTAAGACATTTAGTCCATTTTAAATCAGACAAGGAATAATGTTATCCACTGAATACTGGTTTTGCTTAATCATGTCATGAAAATCGATGACGACGAAGCGGAAAATGGGTTTGAAGTCATAATCTCTGGTGGGATTATGATCTGACTAGATCAAGTTGAGGAACTACTAACCGAAATTAATATACACGACTGGAGAATGTGCAAAAGCAACAAATACATCAGGCAGAAATTGGACAATAGATTTGTAAGGTAAAGTTAGTAGCAAATCGAGCAGTTCAACCATCCTCTTAATAAGCTTTGGTATGTAACGTGATTCATATTTCTTGGGTGCACCCATTTTACAACTGATTGCAGTAGATTCTCTTGTTTTGAGAAATCTTTTTATTTCGCCGACTTAGTTTACTTCTTGAGATATTGAGGTTTGAAATTGCTGTTGGTGATTTCTTTGCACAAATTTTCCGATATTTCAAAAATTAAACTAGAAAAACTTGTCAAAATAGCTGATTGTACTAACATCCATTGTCAAATGGATATACCCGTGGAATCGCAATCGTGCGTACTACGTTATTTGATATAATAGCCTGTATTTCTTCTTTAACTTTGTCATTGTCGGTGTCTATGATACATTATAATTTTTGTAAAATCTGTAATGTGCATTAGATTTAAGATCGGTATATTTGGTATACTGCAAAACTTAATCTTCAAAGTCATACGGTAAGTTTTTATAGAATAGATATCAACTCGATATCTAGACTATTAAGTGCTCGTACATAAATAATTTGTTGATTTATAACTATAGTAAATCTGTCCGGTTTATTATTAACAATCGAATTAATTGAATTTATTATTGCCACGTGGTTGACTATACTGCAAATTCAGAAAATATCACAGCTATAAGTTGACTTCAGTAGAATTAATTGTTAATTTCAAAAGAAGTTACTGATCTGAGAAATTAACATTGGATGTTAATATTCCAAAAGTCATGGTTTTCTGGGTATTTTAGTATAATGGGAAGAAAGTATTATACTAAAATATAACATAATTTCAGATTGAATAGTTTTTAAGCTTAGAATTGAATAGAAGAATGGCTTAAATAAATATCATTATAAATATATGTGAAATTTTTAAAAAGTATTTAGCCAAACCTAGATATTTTTTGTTTAAATATTTATTTTTACATTAATAAAAAATAAAAATATATTGAAATAATTCAAAACTAAAGAAATGTAATCTTCAAGTACAGAAAGGAGATGAAGAGAAAGAGAAAACATGGCACTGCACGTAGTCAGTATAGTGGACTACATACACGAGATTAACGATAATAGAATGTAAAATAAAAACTATTTAAATCTATTTAAAATAAATAAAATAATTATACATATTAAAAATAGTACAATTTTTTAATATACTTCAAATTCAGATTGTCATTGCAATTACAAAATAATTTTTCTTGAAAGTAATTAGTTATTATGTTTATAAAATAAAGTATATGTTATCATAAAAGAAAACGTGGGACTGCGATATAATTCTTCTCATAATATATATTATATTCTACCGAGGAATTCGAAATCCGAGGGAAACAAGCGCTGATACTCAGACAGTAGAATTTTTTTAGTGTTCTTAATAGTGCTCGAACTAACACCTGTGACATCGCTAATATCCTTTATTTCCACCTCATGCTTGACAATCTAAAATTTTACAATAGGTTACTTAATACAAAAATATTGCTTTTAAAAGTATTTTATTTAGCATTGGAGTAATATTTCATACCTCACAAGCGAAATATATGGAAGCGGCGGCAATTGATATTGGAGATTTGTTGATCGCAACTTGCTTTTCTTTTGCTTGTCTTGAAATATCGATGGCTTTCTTTTTAACGATATTGGGTAAACCTTTTTGGATGAGAAAAATAATATAATTTATTTTATAGGTAGACCATTTCTTCATGTGATCAAAAATATACCAATGTTTCCGCAAAAGCGCGAGATGACGTCGTCACTAACAATACAATCAACGTTGCAGTCTAAGAGTCTTGTAACTTTCTTATAGCTGCGCCCAATATCTTTAACACTCAAATCATTGGTAGCAGAAATCTCTTTGAAAGTACGGGGTACGCCTTCTTGACGGCATGCAATGAGTAAACATGCTCCGCATTTAGCCAAAACTGTTCGAGATATTCCTCTGTTGCTATGAATCTAAAATGGATACTCAGATATTAAAAGCCGTCAATATAAACACCGATTAAAATTGTATGGATTAATATTTTTACTATTATTCCGTGTTAATGTTAAATGTAACTTTAAGTTATTAGTTCGGAGCTAATTGTTTACACACCTTTCGATACAAAAATTTTGCTCGATCAATAATTGATTGCGTTAAACTTATCCGAGCTCCCATAGAATAAATTTCGTCATACGCTTTAATTAGCGCTTGTTCTGAACTGGTTATTAACCGTTTAGTTCCACTTCGTGAAAGTTGGTTTGACGACGATTGTTGGCTTGAAGGAACCACAGTAAAAGTTTCCAGATTTGCTTCAGTCAGTAAAGGGTTTTCAGGCCCACCAACGCGATTCCTGTTTTGGGTTTCCTCATGTTCAATGGATGTACGCCACTCGCAGCCAGTATCAATTGTACGGTCGACCACAAGCCCACACTCAGAACAGATCATGTCAGCAGTTCGATCATCGTTGATAAGTGGTGCATCATTGTGATATTTACAACATACGCCGCTGCAGATGATATTCAAAAATAAATAAAAATTTTATAAATTGCAAAAATTTTAAATTTAAATGAAAGCCACGGTCAATAAAACTTACTCTGTAGTATATTCCATCCTTTATTTTCTAATTAAACCGCACTCATTCACAACTAGAACAGAAAGGACGCCAAAAAGAATTTGTAGAGTAATATTGGAACGACATAGAACGTGGTTGCTATATGGAATGAGTGGTACTGCTATTTGACATTAAAACAGTGATACTTTATGTTTTTTTTTTGCTTGGCATTGCTTACTTAATACTTGGAAGAAGTAATAAAGAGTGGCATATATTACGCATTTCAATAACTTCATTATGGCATATATGAGTTCAAAAAAATTCCAATTAAAGATCATAATAATTATTTTAAATGTTAAAGTTAACTACCTCCATCGCTCTATACCTTCACCATACCCCATATATTTTGTTAGTTTGATAATTAAATTCAGTTTTTCAGTAGCCAGAGTTAATAATTTCAGTGGGTCAATTACAGAAATATGAAGAATACACATTTTAAAATTATTATGCGATTATGTTTTGCGCAAGATGTCATAATTTGAAAATTTTTTTACTCCCCACATCGTGGTGAAAGTTAAAAATTGTATATTGAAAAAATAAAAAAAAAATATTGCTATGTAATTATTATATGGAAAATTGATCATTTGATGGGCCGTTATGATACCTCTACAATAGATACAAACATAGACAAATATTTATAAAGTATATCTGTAATTTTATGTAATTTTGTTTTTAATTTTTGAGTTGTTACGTCGAAATCATTTTAAAATCGGTTTTGTTTGTCTTTTAAGAATTTTATCTTTTATCTTGAGCGCTATTTTTAGTTTATTTCTATTTGCCGTATTTCGGCAATTTATTAATATCTGCAATTATTTCCAGAGTTATTAAGACATAAAAATAATTATGATATGTCATTACGTATACATATATTTGGTTAGATTTCTTGTTATGTTAAGCTTATGTTAATGGCGTTCACAGTGGTTATTAGGCACTGATATCATGGTATTGCTGGTGGTGCTTAGAGGTGTTGACGACACCATACGGGTGACGATGGGATGCATGTGCTGATACAATCGGGAGTGAATTATGTGCCAGCAACATACTGAAGGTGAGGGCTTGCAGCTGCAGAAATAATTGGTTATGAGTCCATGCTGGTGATAAAGCTCTAGTTACAGAGTTTCGGTTTTTGAAAATTTGAGTTCAATTAGCGACTAGTGGTTAGGAGCCAGAAATTCAAAATAAGAAGACGGAACATTTATCAAGCACACGAAACAAAACATAGTAAGAGAAACGTCAAAATTAATTTCCAATAATATAAAAAATGTATATAAAAAATTCAGATTAACTAAACCAAGTCGACATTATTTTAATGGTTTCACTTCCATCCCTTAAAATAGAATGAAATTTTGCATCTTAGCCGACAAAAATCCAATTGTACACAAAAAAACAAACAATTTTGCTGATAAATCAAAATATTTTGATTTTTATCCGACTTGTCGTCAGACCTGCAAATATTACTATTACACATCAGACTTGGGACAAATTTCGCATTTCAACATACAAGTTGTACGACCAAAACTTAGGTGTAATACCTGCTTTACACACAATCAAGCAAGTGTACTTACTAGTCTGTAACAAGTCTTTTACTTATTGGAATTATTTGCTTTCTGTAGGATTTACTTTTGTGCTTAAGTAATTATTTTGAAACCCTAATAAATAAATGTGGTTATTTGATATCGGATGAAAAAAGAAAATTCTGTACTGTGGATTCAATACTAGAATTTATAGAGGATGTTGGACTTAGAGAATTATATGGCGTTTACACTGACCGAAAATGGGTCATTTCGAATGAGCCATTTGGAAGTGTTTACATTTGTTGTAATTCATTTGTACTCATTTTAAACAGTTGATTTTTCAACTTGCCTGTTGATTTGAATCAACTTGCCTGTGCCAAAATATTGTTGAATGAAAGTTAAATATACCTTCAAATCTTACAGTAGAAACTGAAAACTTGTTTTTGGCTTCGATTAATTTATTTTTGCGAAATAGAAGTTCCAAAAAGAAGTGCATCGTTTTCAAGCAAATGCAACCACCAAACATTTGTGTACTTTTTTTGTAAATATGTCTAAAACAGCTTTCTCAAAACGTCAAAATACCACGAAAAGATTTTATTTAGGGTATGTTCAATGTATTGATTTGCATTTGGAACATATTTGGAACTCATTTATACAGAATGAGATCCAATGGATCTCATTTGAGTCATTTACTCCTCATATTCGATTTTTGACCAAAATGAACCATATGAGGCTAGTGTAAATGCCGCATTATTCTCATTCCATGACGAAAGCACAACTGTGACTAGCTCTTCCTAGTTTGTATTGTTTGTCTATTGCCTTTTAAACTAGTTGATGTAAATACAGCGCCCGCTCTTAAGCTCAAAATTTTTTTTCTTATTGAAGATGTTTCTTAATATTTTCAAACCTTGTTGAATTTTTACTGTAGTAAATGTAAAAAAAAGGATTGATATAATCTAGAGTAAGTAAGTAACTAATTCTCTTGTTAAATATGAATATATTATCTTGCACCCAAACCACAAAAATCATAACAAAAGTAAATAAATAATGGATTTTTAGGTAACAAGAATTATTGATGTAATAAGATGTAATAAATTAACTAAATATACATTTTTTCAGTTACATTTACTTCAATGTTATCTCAAAAGCAAACCTAATTTCCACAGTGTATTGGCACCATAAATATTCATAATTTACTTAAGTTAATTAAGGGAAAATAAATGGAAAACAACACACAACACCGATCCGCCATATGCGGATTGAGATTGAGGAACGAGAAGAAATTTTCGCATATTTCCCCAAAGATTAACAAGTTTGCGTCAAAGCATAACCAAAAATTGTTGATGGTTTCTCATTCGCCGTGGTTTCTGCCGCAAAGGATGCTGCAGTGCAGAACAAACGAACCGAAGTTAACCATTATCCTTGCAAGTTTGCTTACATGTTTGGATTGTGTTCGAAATGTGTTTGTGGATCTTTTATATTTATTTTCTCTATTTATATCAAAAAGATTTCGTTTTGATATTTTTTACTATTTTTTAGCAAAGTTTAAAGAAAATACAAGCTAATAACTGTAATAGTTTTCATAAAAAGTAAATTTTTTTTTTTTATACTCATTCAGGAGATTGGGGAATTAATATAAATTTTATTATTTTCATTTATTTTTATACTTTTTACCTAAAAAAACAAATTTGAAAATTTTATGTGTTTTTAATGTCCTTGCGCGGAAATTGCGTGAAAATTTGGCTCCAGCTTACACGTGTTGATTTGATGTTCTTTATAAAATTTTATGGTCAAGCTTAAGATAAAACTCAACGCAGACGAATATTCTATGCAGGAGCAGTGATGAGGTTTCTTATATATCTTAGGTAAATAAAGCACTTTTTTCGAGTTTATGGTTTCCGCACAGTAGCTGGCCGTTTTACGAGGACAATTAAATTTTTTTTTGAATATTTATCTTTTAACATAAGCGCCAATCTGGCTGTAGATAATGGCACGTTTTTTTATTTGACTAATTTTTATATAGAGGTTTTTTCGAACAGTAGTGAACTACAACAACAAAAAATTTTTTTTTTTTTATTATTTTAATTAATTGAATTTTTGGCTGACCATACAGCTGTTTCGAGTATTGCCAAATACCCTTCATCAGTGGTCTTGGAAATAATTCTTATATTTAATTATTTGTAAATAATTATTTTTGAGACTGCAAGTACCAGGAATCTTGCCCTGCCGATTTAGAAGCTTAGAGTCAGCGCTCTTTTACCAAGTGATCCAAAGCCGTACTTGAATTTTTATGTTCGCATATTTTTCTGATGTTTTGTTACTTTTGCTATGAAAGTTTTTATTAACAATTTTACTTGCTGTGTTTATATTAGAATGAAATCCTAAATCAGCTGTAGAATAATTAAATTAATTAATTAATTATATTTTTATTTTAAATTGTTGAATTTCAATACAATTCTGTTTGTAGAGGCATTACTTGTTGCATGATTTGTTCTTTCTTATGTATAGAACCTAAGCTAGGAACGTAATTTTTTTTTCATAATTTTTATATGAAAGAAAAGTTCCTTCACTTTTAAAGATATTTTTCGAAGAAATATTATTCTAGTTAATTTATACGCTGTTATGAAAGTTTAATATTACCATGAACAAGAGGCTTAATACCTAGTAGAATAGGTTTATCGTAGCCTAAAATCATAGGCGTAGCGCAAGTAGATAGGGGGTAGGGAGGGGTTATTGAGCGAGCGTGGGGAGTGGACTAGTGGTAAACTCTGTCACCGGGATCACGAGAGCCACGGTTGTAGAGTGGGATGATGGGAGCATCCGAGTCCGCTCATCGAAATGTAGTGTAAGGTTTTTTTTATTAATAAGCACTCAAAAGCACCAAAAGCCTAAGTCAGTGCGGGACTTTAACTCACGGAAAGTGCCTCCTGGAACTACCGTTAAGTATTACGTCAGAAGGCATAGCTTGAGGTGTGAGTGTTGGGGTTTGAAATGAGTGCCTTGGACGAGGTCTGTTGGCAGGATGCTGCGGGTAGAGACATCAGGGTGAGGTTTGTGCAGTATTTAAAAATTCTTTGTGTCTGAAACGGTTTTAGCTACTTTATGATGTTCTGTATTGTTAGTTTAGTGAAGAGCAGTTTAATTTTTCAAGTGAATGAAGAAAATATCACGTAGACTATAAATCCCGGCACAAAGTGATTTAACGAAAAAATTTAGCAATAATTTAACAGCAGAAGAGGGTGAAGCACAACTGGCTCATGAAGCAGTGGAAAGAGAAAGGGGTTTTACTATTCACATTCATTTTCCACATTCACTAGGCTTTATAAATTTGATATAAAGAGTGCAGATAATTTGGCTACATGCCCTGGTTTTCCATAATAACAACATTTGGAAAGATTTTTTGAAAGTTTGGTTTTTGGAACTATGATTTATTAGATGGTATGC